TGTCTGAGGCAATCATCTCGGCTACGTTGTTGGGCAGCGTAGAAGACGTGGCTGTGTTGGCACTATGCGTGTGCGGGGGGACTAGTGCGGACAGTTCAGGTGACACCGATGAGATCTGGCACTCGTGCGACGATGACAGAGTGGCGAGAATAATGCCTTGGTCACAACCGAAGGTCGCAGGCTCAGTTCCTGCCCACGACAAAGTATGTTTTCACCCACTTTTTTTCTTTCAATTCACATTACAGTTTGGTCTGATAACTTCCTTTACACTTTCCTAGGCATTATTGTCTGTTAGGTCTCATAGCTTATGTGATAGAAATATTTTTATGTAGTGGTACCCCGGCCAGATAAACTCCACTAATGCTTCTCGCATCATCGGTAAACGACAGTGCCGTAGCTATACACCTACCAACAGTGCGCAAGTACATGACCTAGAGCCTGTTTTTTTTTAACAACTGAGTCGCTATAAAAGGCTGCATTTACACGCCGTTTATTAGTCCTCATGTTCAGAAGGATACCAAGGGCATTACCAAGGATACCAAGAACATTTTTTAACGACTGATGGATTTTAACGCGTCGCGTACGTGCAAAGGTTGCAAATTTTGACAGTACATATCCAAGATTCCAGAATATATTTACATTCGGTGTTTCTATATACGAAGATATATATCCTAAATTACCTCACACTTATTAAACCAACGGCCACATTGAATTATTCAGAGCTTTTAACTTAGCAAGTGATGAGGATCAAGCAATACTTCATATGACGTTTGCCTCGTTTTCGTGTTTTGTTTTTGTTAATTTATCTCTACGGGGCCGTAGCGCTTTCAAAGTTTGGTTGGCCAAGCGATTTAGCTTCTCCGCCTTTTACTCTGCTGATTAGCTTACTCATACTGTGTTTTCCCTTTCCTTCTTTATTGTTTTACTGTAGCCTTACATGTCTCCTCAGATCTGAAAATTGACCAACGGCGTCCCGCGTAGCAGGCGTAACCATGGGATGCAAACAGTTATCTTTCCATGCTCATGACGCATTGATATCGAAAATTAACTTTTCACGTTTTTACAGCTTGCGCAAGTTTTGTACACCATTGTGGTGCAATCACTCTTGCGCTGTCACCCTAGGAAACATCTATTGGTAGCGCTGAAGTCTTTGTTGCATGGAACAAATGTGTGATTTTATTTTTTCAAGCTGTGATGAGCTGCATGCAGCTCCGCCTGTTCGGCATATCACCTCTACCCTTTTGGTCATCTCAGTGCATGTATAAACGATCATGGTGAGCCTTTCCCTTATCGGGCTTCCGTATTACATACTGGCATGGAACCAGGTAGAGACGGCCGGTATGATCGGTTTCATCCAATGCGTCAATATGCAATGCAGCGATGTCAAGAGGGCTCATGCATAGTCTAATGCAACCTCAACAGTATCCAGCTCGCTGATGGTTCCCGTCGACGCTTCTGGGCAGGCGAGCTGTGCATCCTTTTGCACTGTATGAATACGTCGTGAGGCTGTAGAAAAGTATCGGCACAGCGTTGGCAAAACTTTTGGAACGCCACGCGGTAACTTCACAAGAACACCTCCAATTAGCCACTGGTTCACGCGAATGATGTCACTCTCATTGAAGTGCTTTTCGCACACGGGCAAAATTGGGGAACAAATGTGAAACCACCAGCTTCTTGTCACGACATTGTGCGTTTACTTTTTCCGCTGGTCACTGTAGGCAGCGAGAACTCTGAGAGATTTTAGTCATTTCTTTTGTAACCGAATCGACAAACAGGTATTCAGCAGGTATACAGTATCTTTGCCGACCTTCAGGCACAGCACATTCGGTACAATAGTAATCATACGGAGAAAACTTTACGCAATCGCACGCCATAATATATGCATTGACCCCGTAGCGGCACCAGCAGACAGCTTCCCTCTAATCTGCCCAATGCCCCAGGTGGTGATGCAGCACCTCCCCGCGGCCGCCGCTCGCAGCGCACAGAGCTCTCTCATAGAAATACGGCGAAGCTTCACGAGCAGTAAATGTACTGAAAGACTCTGACAACATCTGGAAGCGCGCGGACACCGCCACGGACTACGCTAGATGCCTGACATTGCCCGACTAAGAAATGCATTCGCATTTATAACCCACTTGGTCAACGCGTTTTGCGACGCATATACGACGTGATAGATTAGCAGGTATATATCCTCGAAATTTTTGTGGGAAAAGATCACTTTTGTTAGATTTCGCGCCGTGTTTTGCAGTGACTATTACATGTACTAAAAAGACGTGAACTTGTGAAGCTGTCAGCGTCGTGGCACCTCACATTGCATCGTTCACGAGGCGCCGTGCGCCAGCTGTGTGTTTTGTTCGCAGATGGGGCGGATTGCAAGTAATCTGCGAGCGTACGAAGCTGTACCACAAGGGCGTACGTTCGAAGATATTATTTCAGGTCTTCAGCAAACCTAGCCACGTATTTCCAAGCGGACAATGGAGAAAAAAAATTCGGCAGATCTCACGTGCTTGGGAATCGACGTTATGCGAAGCATGTGGTTGGAAGGTGACCGTGTTGCAACTTTTATTATTGAGTGATAGGCTATGAAATGACGCTAAATTTATGTACAGATGTTGCACGCACACACATCTGTTGAAGAGTTGCAAATGTTTATATAACAAGCTGTTTCCACTTGCGCACCGATGCCAACTTGAACATACTTATTAGCAACACCAGAAGCTGATATGATGAGCTGATTCTCACGAGGATGCTCGCCCTGAACACTGCTACATAAATCAACTTCAGCGCACGACAACTAATCACAATGGACGTTAACCCGACGTGACGGCTGTATGTAAGGAGTACATATGTAATGTATTGAAAATTGGGTAGGTAGCACTGCAACCACTACTGACGTTTCACGAAGATGAAAAGTACTTCCGAGGCCTGGTGTAGCTCTGTGGTAAAATGTTTGATTGCCACGCACAATGCTTGGGTTCAATTCCAGTTGGGACCCTAACATTTATTCTTTGCATTCATTGGGTCGACGCTACTGATGTCGGGTATTTCTTAACACTCGCGCGTAAAGATTGCCCCCGTGTGTTCTCATCTTTCCTTGGTAGATACTAAGTGTCAATCACCTGTAGCACATACCCGCATACCAGCAGCACATATCTGCCCGTGGGTACGTTCCACAGTATGGCGAGAAGTGTTTGACGATGTATGTGACGAGATTATGACCTTATTCATGTCTTGAACAGCATGCCATAATAATCAAACCATCTTACCCTCACATGCTAATTTTGGTTCACGCCAAGTTAAGGGGCTAATCATGAGAGCACCCAAACGTAAGCGGCTAGATAGATATAGATAAATACGCTCAAAGTTGCCGAAGTTCGCTAAGAAATGCATCGCATATTTACTTTATTATTTTATTTCAGAAGTACTGCCAGCCTCACAGATGAGGCCTTAGGCAGGGGTGGGTGATACAAAAAAGGAAACAACTATGAACATACAACAGGAACGGAAACACGTCACGCAGAGCTACACCATCAAGAACTAGTGCATCAAAGTAAAACGCCAGTACTTACACAATTGTTGGTTTACGCGTACACGTACAGAAAAAAGAAAAGAAGACAAGATAAAAGAAAAACTATGACAACATATATCAGTTCATACACACCTAAAAACTAACATCATATAACGGTTCAAAAATAGGCAACGTTTCAAAAATGCAACACATTGATAAGAAAAAAGTGATAGAAAGTGGAACATGAATGGAAGCCTGTTCAGGATGCGTGGTGGAATAATAGAGGGCGAAGCGCAAAGAAAGATCAAAGTCAAGTGGGCTGCTGGTGTTTAAGCTTTCCCATGAACGACTAAACGGTTTCGCAGTTCACCAGATTGGCAGAAAGAGCATATCAATTAGTGACAGTGCGCGGAAAAAAATGAGTTTTTAAAGGCTTTTGTTTTACAGAAATATTCCTTCAGTTTTTTGGATGCTCGGAACAAGTTGATCGGCGGTGAACCGATCAACTCGTTCAAACCAAAGCGCACGCAGCGCTTTGTTTCGTTTGCTTCCACGACAGTAGCGATTGTTTACGCTTACGCTGGCGTCCTAGCGTGACAACTTGCGATCTCCGGGTAGCTTTGAGTTTTCTCGGGTTCCCCACACACGTGACCACTACGCTGTTCCTGTCCCGACATGAACTAGCTGGCTGACCTTCCGGCTAGCTCTGGCTGCCAGAGAGATGCCATAGGTCTAAAAATCGAAGATCTCAAATATGTCGCACTCACCTTGCTGGGCTCAGCAGGTACTACAGTAAACCTGCCAATACAGACATCACAGGTTCTACGACCGTGCACCGACCGATGCTTACGTGTTGCATTACTGAGACTGGTGTGAAGTCGATAAAAAAACTAGAGTTTTAGACTTTAAACTAGAGCTTTAGAGTTTCTCTCAACAGCATACGCGTGTAGTAGCCGCAGTGATTGTAGCAAGCAAGGGATAATGAAGTAATATCTTATCCAGCTTCTAGGGAGAGAAAATATTGCTGAGCTCTGGCTCTGTGCGTCACTTTTCTATTAGAACTTTCGTCATCAACCTGTGGCCTGCGGGGCAGTGTAAACTGACCCCCAGCACAACGGCAGCTACCCTCTCTCCACTTCCCTTGTCACTTACCTTTTGAAAGCAGACGTGGCAGTTTTGAACTAAAACGGTGTTCTCACTGGTAACGTATGTTTGATTGCAACTATGTGACATGCTTTATTAAAATAAACATGGCTTCTAATCCAAACTGTCACATGGGTGTTATTTCAAAGAGCTTCTACAGCTTGTCCTTGAGCTGCTCTGCCCTTGCCGCACCCACCATCCCCCTGTTTTGCTATCCGACCTCCGCTGCGCTGGTTTCATGAAATTTGGTCCTCCGCTACAAAAGGTTACCGACCCCTGACTTGGAGGGTTAAGACAACATGCCAACTCTCGCCTATGCACAAGACAGCATGGACGACATAACACTCACCAATGCCCCAGCTGCACTCTGGCCGGGTTCGCTAAGCCACATTCCTGGAACCATGACCGAGAGGAAAGGGCCGGGAGCACCTGGAGAGAAGATGCACTTCTCGCTTGCCTGCGAACGCGTGTTACGTCACTTGTAGAATCGGTAAGATTTTCTTTTGCCAGAGTAGTCCAGTAGTTCCGTAAATAAAGATCAAAAAGCAAATCATAGCCAAGATGAGTATGGAATCATATAGCAAAGAACAGCTGCTAAACATGCAGTATATGTTCGTTCAGCATATATCTTGGTTGACTCGCAGCACGTGACTGTCAAAACATTGCACTCTAGTTTGATTGAACGAAACGTCGATTATATTTTGTTTCGACTACTATGTCAGTTCAGAGTTTGTTGTCAATTCATTTTTTTACCAATGACACTCACCAACGGATGTAGATACTGTTGACACGCTTTGCGTGTGATGTATTGAGGAAAGGAAAGGGTTTTGAAGATTCAGTAATAGTTACCTGAATCTTCAAAATCCTTCGAGAGCCATGCGACCTTAGCCAAGTTTCTAGTGCTGAGTTATTACGCGATAGCGAAAAGAGCTCTTTTCGCAGAAATTTCGGTGTCCGTGGCGGCATCGTTTGGCTGTGAGCGAAAATCGGCTTTGCCCATGAGACAGTTTTAGATATAGATTCAAATAGATAAATAATATAAAACTTCGGCCAGAGAGAAAATCAAATCCAAACTTTTTGCGTGCGAAGCAGCAGGTGCTTTCTACTAAGCCATGCCAGTGCTTGAAAACTAATAGAAAAAACGTCATAAAAATATCAGGTCTCAGGGGTTTTCTTAAAGGGGCCCTGAAACACTTTTTCAAGTTACAATGGAATGAATTCACTGGAAGAGCTTATTGCATTACAGATTCAACGCTGCAAAAACTAAGAATCTCTGCATTGCGAGGAGAGGTACAAAGATTTCTCGCATGCTGCAATTGCATTCTCTCTTCTCACATCCCGCCGAAAGCGCTAGAATCTAATCAGGGAAGGATGGGGCAAGGAAAATACGTCACCTGAGCCTCGTGGTTTCGAGCACTTTTTCTTTTTTTTTCTCTTAGAATGTGCGGCTTTTTAAGTACGATAGCACGCGCACGCGTGGAGAAGTCACGGCCCCCCCACGGCGATCTCTGTTACAATCAAGCGTTCCATGTCCAATTTAGCCAATGGCTGATAGATGGGCTTGCTACGACTGATTTTTGAGCGTTTTCTGTCATTTGTCGAGAGAATAAAAGGCACTTTTTAGCTGACTTTGATAATTTATTGCAAATTGCAGACCGCGTTCTGCGCTATAATATTTGTCTTGAGTGTTGTCAGGAGCCTCTACTACCGATCGGAAGCATTTTCTGACAATGCTGAAAAACCTGTGCAGAGCCCCGTCAATATAAAAAAATATTCTCTAAAAGACTCGCGCTATAACACCAGACGTCAAAATATGTGAATTGCGCCGCGAATATAAGAGGGAGGCGGGGTCAATGCTATTCATCCATTTACAAAGTGTGCAGGTGTGCCCACCGTGAAGACCAGATTTTGGTTGAAATATCCGGAGCCCTCTATTACGGTTACCCTCATAACATATCGTGTTCCTGGAACATTAAACCCAAAGTAATACAATCATCATTATTATCACGGATGCGTGGCATATTACGTACATATAGTGAGCAGGTAATGGGTACTTCGCACATTTTCAAAAGGAAGAATTATAACCGAGTGGTACTGCGAAACTGTACTTTCAGAAGGTAGTATAGAAATCCAAGGTAGTTGGTACGAACGCATTGTAAAATAGCGCAAATAATGAAAACCTTAAAGTACGTTGAAAGTTAGCGCCTGTGTTATCTCTTCTCCTGTGCCCGTGTGTTTTACTTGCATTATTTTAGAATTCTAGGATAGCGTGAAATGGCCGTTAAGCGCACAAACGTGCCTTTCCCTGCAGCACGTTAGGAGGCGATGCTCACGTGGCCCTATCGCGATATTGCATTTTAATTTGAAGCAAAGCTCAAGCATAATTTCTTTTCTTTCTTCTTTTTGTGACAATGTAACACCAAAATATTGTTCACAATGTGGGTGCGGCTTTCAGCAGTGGTGGTGGTGAAAAACATTTATTTATGGGAGTTATGTACATAGAGGGCGCGGAGTGGTCCTTAAGGGGCGGGATGCTCATATCGATGAAAAGAGCAGCAGCATTTCCGCCACAGTTATCTTCCGACATTGATATCATGAGACGAGCGAGAAGCCCAAACATGTTAACGAGAATGAGCACGCACCAATAAGTCATGGTATACGCCACCCGAATCTTGTATAGTTTTGCTTTGATTCTTTAGTTGCTACGCAGCAGATTGAATCAATTGACGGCTAAAGATAAGCATGTATACATTCTCTACGCTTATCCGCATATTGCAAAGGCTACTTTTGTTTTTGAAAGGTGTTGTACTTAAGTCCATATATCATCGTATTTCGGTTGTTTGCTCTCCAATTCCACACTGTTAAGCGTTCGCAGAAAGAAGACTTGCTCCGCTAGGCACCGCAACTATCACATGTGGTCACAATGTTTAAACGAGTTAAATTCGTTTATGTTAGTCATACTAACAGTTTATTGTACTTAAGTAAACGAATGCTGGACTATTGTACTCATTAAAACTCTTAACATGAACTATAGTTATAACTATCGATTTCTGATTTTAACAGCAACCATGTTTAAGCTAGCTGTCACTTGTGGGTTGTCTTATCAGAACACTATCATCATCGTAAATGTGTAAGTGCCCCCGAGAATGGACAAATCACACCACTCAACATTGTATGCATGGCCAAACATTAGGGTTTCCGTTGAAACGTGCTTTAGCGCTTCACTAAATATCAAGAAGGCACCCATTCGCTCAAAAAATAGCTTCGATGCAATGATGGTGAGCCGAAGACCACGAATACAGAAAACGAGAAAATAAAACATATTTGAGGAAGGGGACGGTAGTCGCGAGAACATCCCGAAGTGAGAGAAGACGATGGGTTCGTAGATTTAAGAGAAGTGTAAACGCTTGGTTTCAGCGGGAGTTTTGTGTCTGCAGTTCGGACATCATTGTCGTGTCTGGGACTGTCTGTAACCTCTATGCACTGAAAACCAACGAACAAATAACCTAGCATCATTACACCTGGCAATTACCCGGAAGCAACCAGATGAAACTTCGGAATAGTAAAACTTCGCTGTTTAAAACCTCTCGCGTCTTGGCGCAAGCTTCTCCAATTTCTCGGACAGGCTTTATGAATACTGTAAAAAAAATTATGGGCGCTTAAGCTAGGCATTTTAGAGTTGAACACGACAGCGATATGCAGTCCCTATGATGCGTACTAAGTTCAAATAGTTTGCGGATGGGTGGAAACAACTACATTGAAAGTCCGGCAATGTTTACAACCCAGGCTCAAGTCTCTCATTAGGGGACTACGTGTCCTTGCTTTGTCGCCACTTCTCGGGCCGCTGGACTGCCCACTTTTGTGCCTTGAAGTTGGAGCTCTGCAGAATGGCTGCTCACTTCGACGCGAATGCATCCGGAGCTACTGCCATTTCAACTGCTGTAATAGAGCACTACCAGCAATATGTGCGAGAGTGTCGCTCGAGTTGCCTGACATAGTTTGCAAGTAGCACTAGGATATTGCGCGGGGAAATAGGGCTTGTGTGAGTGAAACTTTCGCATACGCGGCTCGATTCTATGTAATGGGTAGCATGCACCATGGGCAATAATATGCGTCAACTTTTTTTCGAGCTTGCTATGCACTCACTACGTTGTCTTAAGTAAAAGAAAGCAGTAACGTCTATGCCTCTTGTAGTGGGTGGCCCGCTTTAAACCATGAAGTCATGATAATCAGACGTTCTGACGCACGATTGCATTGTGCTCTTTTACCGCGTATATACTGTAGTATTACATATTACAATTTGAAGCATGTATACAGGACGCGTGTGTTTGTAAAGCACGCAAGTTACTTTCACAATATTTTCAAGCAGATGAAGTCATTTTCACTGTATTTTTTAGCGGATGGCTGGCGTTGTGGCAGAACAGCTGATTGTCACCCGAAGGACCTTAATTCGATCCTCACTTGAACCCAGAATGCCTTGCAATTTTTCCATTTTTCAGGCACACAAAGATGAGGCTTTTTCGCTGACAACCAATGACACCGACGCCGGATTTTTCGTGAGACGATGATGATTCCCAGAACACTGGCACAACCCACCACGGTGGATCGGCTGCGAGGCGTGCGGCAGTAGAATGTGTGAAACAACATAAAAATTATAAAACGAATAAAGAGAGAGGAGAAAAGGGGCGAAAAATATGCGAGAAAGATATTGTAAAGAGAAACAAAAATAATTTTGGTGGGATTATGTAAAGTAACGTTTTAGACATACTATTAGTATTATCATGGCGTTCTTGTTGATTCTTTTAAATAAATAAATAAATACAGCACCGTAAATAACTTTGTTGCAGTGTCCTAGTGCCGACGCCTCCTGGAACAGCAATGCCGGTGTAGAAAGCTCAAAGCCACGTTTTAGGGGTAAAGTTCCTCAGGGCGTGGATCGTGCGTGTTCCGTATGTAATAGGCACCACTTTTTATAGTCCTTGGAATGTTGTTAGATGGCAGTACTTGTATATGTTTAATATATGTTGAAACGATGCGAGATAGCGGTACTTGATTGTTCACTAGAATGATGGACGAACAATCGGACGGACCAATGGGCTGCCATACAGACCGACCGACATGCGGACAGACAGATGGAGCAGATGGAGACACAGACGGACGGTCGGACGGATGGATGGGCAGAGAGAGACAGCACGGATGGACGGAAGCATGGATGGACAGATGGACAGAAGCATGGACGTATGGATGGATGGACAGACGGACGGAAGCAAAGACGGACGGACGGTTGTACAGGTGGATGGACTGACAAAAGCACGGACGAATTGAAGTGCGGATCGACGGTTGGACAGGCGGATAGACTGACAAAAGCATGGTCGAATCGAAGCGCGGACGGACACAAGCATGGACTGACGGACAGACAAACGGACACTTCGCCCCACTCATCATCATTCACTCCAT